GATGAGCGTACGGATGGAGGAGGAAATCGACAACAGTCCTTCTTGAAGTCTCTGTTCGTTGCATCAACAAAAATCTGGCCAGTGGCAATTCAATCTGGAACTCGACCCTCCTTGAGCTCAGCTTTTGATCCAACAGCGGCAACAACACTCTGGCCAGCGACAATCTATCTCAAGTTCAGCAATACCATCGGCGGCAACGCCGCAGACCCTTCTACGACACCAACTCAGATTCCGAAAACAACAGGGTCAATAGCGGCTTCCCCTGAATCTCGAATTGACACCAGCTGCCGGCAGGACCAGTGATTTGCGGTTTGGCTCGTCTTTTGTAGCTCTCTTCCCTGCAAAACACCAAAAGAAGGAAGAATAATAAGAAAATTAACAGAGGTTTACCTTCTGCCTTTCCTTGCTCTATGGACTACGGAGTTGCTGATTTTTTTTAATCTGCCGCAGAATTATAAATAGGATGCCTTGCAGGTTGATATTGCCCCTATTTATAGTTGAATATGAATCGGGATCCCACGCTGAGAGAGAGAATTCAACAAGGAGTAAACTTATGTTTAAGGCAGTGATAGGAGTTCAACTGGAATTCTAATTCGACAAGCATAAATTACTTGGGCTGGATATTTGAATTAGGAAAAGAGCTGCCCAGATTTTTCAATTGTTTGAGCGTTATTCACGTTAACAGAAGAGCTTGAACCTGATTAGAAAGGGTGGAATTAGAGTTCTAATAGAATTTCCAAGTTAAGAGTACGAGTTTGTTTTTTTAAGTTAAGGAGACTTCAATATTTGGTCCTTATCCCTTTAAGAATGTACACGATTGGGATTGTACAAATTGGTTATTTAGGCCTGCTTATGACGAAGATCCAAAATAATTTCAATTGATACTTGGTTATATTTGAGCGAAACAAGGAAAGGCTTTATTTCAAGCTAGTGAGAATAAATGATTTGAGCCAATCATTTTGCTTGAAATTATGTTAAGCACTCAGAACTATTTCCGAAAGATGAGGTGAATATGGAATATTATTTTCGAGACTTACTTTTACCTCTTCAGATATTCAAGCAAGTCTCGAGGGGCATTTGTGGACATATGAAAATTATTGGACCAATTGGACTTCTTAAAATCTATCAGACTATTCTCAATCACTTTGGGCCTCTTTCGAATGATATTTAGCCAACGTCGATCTTAGTGGACTGCCCGTGATGGTGGATGGGCTTTTCAAAGATATTAATATGCGTCCATTCGAATATAATTTAGTGATTAAATTAATTTGGGTTATTGAAAATATCCAATTAATTTAATTATAAATTAAAGGAAAAATTGACAGTAATAATCCCAACTATTGGCGGTCTGCTCATAATAATCCCAACTATTGATTATTACAGAATAATCCCAACTTTAGGGACCTTCCGCCAATAATGGTCCCTATGAATAAATTCTTGTAGTTTCTAAAGTGGATGAGATGAGATATAAGAAGTAATCCCTATAAATAATCTCAACTTGTAATTTTTACATTTAATTTCTATTTAAAATTCACTTTTTATAGAGGTAATATATGGTCATGGACCATTATTGGCGGATAGTTGATATAGTTGGGATTATACAAAAATAATCAATAGTTGGGATTATTTTCAGCGGACCGGCAATAGTTGGGATTATTATTTTCAATTTTTCCTAAATTAAATCCTTAAAAGAATGGATTGGTCTAATTAATTTCTTGATTTTGAGCCCATTATTAAATAGTGGCCTGATACATAAGAGACATGATCCAATTGATAAAGAGAGCAATGAATCTGGTTAAGAAATATGTCCGTATGCATGGAAAATGGCCAAGAACCTTGTTAAAAAGGTTGTCCAGATACATTGCATAAGTGCTGATTTTTCTGGCTATTAAAATGCAAGCAAATAGAGCCCGGAGCCCATTTTAATTGAGGCCCATAAGATATGGACGAATTTCAGCAACCCTAAATCATATTTTCACCCCCTCCACACCTATAAATAGGGGTCTCAGTAGAGAGGAATGAGGAGAACTTCCAGACGAAGAAACGCTGCAGAAAAGCTCTGAAGAACTCCCGAAAGGCTCTGAAGGATTCCGAAGCATTGGAAGATATCAAGCCACGTTTTTTTGTCAAGAATATATGATTAATCCTTTGTGATTTCATTTATTCTTGATCAAACAAAGCAAAAAGTTGAATAACGTTCGAAGATCTGAAGAACGAAGCTTGAAAGATTCGAAGATCTGAAGAACGAAACTTTGAAGATTCGAAGATATAAAGAACGAATCTTTGAAGGTTTGAAGATATTCATATGAAGATTGAATCAAGATTCAATTGAAGATCAAGCCATATATCCCGGGAGACCCTTAAACATAAGATCAAGCCATAAAACGGCCCTTTTGTTGAAGATCAAGCCACATGAAAACCGGAGGCCCTTCAAGCTGAATTCTTTATTCAAGAAGATTTGAAGATCCGAAGAACGAAGGTTCGAAGATTCGAAGATCTCAAGAACGAAGATTCGAAGACCCGAAGAACGTTCGAATATTTGAAGAATTAGAGATTTAATTTTTAATTTAATTCTTTAATTATATTACTTCAAATTGCAAGTGAAGAATCAGAGGATTCATATTTAGAGATTGAACCCGATATTTTCATATATTATTATTTGCGATCAATTTTAAGTAAATACTTAAAATTTGTTTCACAACTATCTTCCTGGTTGAATTTTTAGCTGAAATTCGGTATGGGTAAACTACACTTAATGAAGAAGATACTCAAAAAATTTCATAAAAAAATCTACCGGGAACTGCCCCAATAAAAAATTTCATAAAATATTACACCAGGAACCGCCCCAATTGACGACTGCCGGGCAGAACCTCCTATATAAGGGGCTAATTGAATACTTTAAGTCAGTTCAAAAACCTATTTGACCCTTTAGCCAAAAAGAATTGCACTCTTGATAACATCAGACAAAGTCTCTCTTAAAATAAATCAAAATAAACAAAACTTTGAAAAGTCCTTGCATTGAAACGTGAGGCTAGTAATGTATCTGACATTGAAAAGCGCAGGCAAAGGAATGATCTTTGGTATACTCCGTATAATTTTAATTACTGTAGTATTAAAAAATATATACCGAAGAGGAATGTTATTTGTATGCTTCCTTTCCTTTAGACCTGCACAAAACCGGGCCGGCCCGCCCAGTCGGCCCGCACAAATGGGCGGACTTGGGCATATATATTTACCCACCGGGCCGGGGCCGGGCCGAGCCGGCCCGCAATAACATATGGGCGGGCTTGGGTTAGGGTGTAAGCCTGTTCGGGCCGATAAGCCCGGCCCGCTACATTTACTATATATATATATATATATATATATAGAGGAATGATCCTGTCCAGCCGGAGGGACAGGATCTTCCGTCCGGCCGCCGCCGTTTGGGGTGGTTCCCGGTGGAGTTTTTTTATGAAATTTTTATGGAATGTTCCTCATCAAGTCTAGTTTACCCACAAAAAATTTCAGCTAAAAATTCGATCGGGAAGGCAGTCAAATAATTTTTTGAAGATAACTGCTCTAACTTAAACATATAAAACGCAGTTATGTTTCAAAAAATTATTTGACTGCCTTCCCGATTGAATTTTTAGCTGAAATTTTTTGTGGATAAACTAGACTTGATGAGGAACATTCCATAAAAATTTCATCAAAAAACTCCACCGGGAACCGCCCCAAACGGCGACGGCCGGACGGAGGATCCTGTCCCTCCGACTGGACAGGATCTTTTCCGTATATATATATATATATATATATATATATATATATATATATATATATATATATATATATATATATATATATATATAAATTATATTAGAAAATATAAATGTACATGTAAATAAATAAATAAATTATATATATATAATATATATATAATTTATTTATTTATTTACATGTACATTTATATTTTCTAATATAATTTATCTTTATACATATTTATAGTTTATTATGTTTAAATTTAGGTTTTTAGATCTGAACCACTAGCCCAACTAATATAGTATCTATTTTTGTACTTAAAGATAATACTTTGTGCTTGAATTTTAAATTTTAGATATAGTTTCTCATTATTATTTTTGTGTAAGTATTATTTTTGTATGTGGTGAAAGACCTATAAACATTACACGTATATTAACAATTTTTTAAATGTTGTAATATTAGTTTTAAAGTATTAAAAAAATTCGAAAAATATAAAGTTTTTCCGGGCCCGGAGGCCCGGTGGACTACCCGGCCCGCTCTTATGGGCGGGTATGGACATGGGGTTAGGCCCGTTTTTGCGGGCCGGGCCGGGCCCGCCCACATATGATGGGCTAAAAAAATTATAAAAAGCCCGGCCCGAGCCCGGCCCGAACCCGTTTTTGTGCAGGTCTACTTTCCTTCCATGAAATAATGAATGAGTGTTGTGGTCGGATGGGGATGGTTTGGCAGTAAGGAGGTGTTTGGATTTGATTCTTAAAACTGCTTCTGCTCCCGGGTGAGAGAGCAGAAACATAAGATAAAGTGTTTGGGTGAAAGCACAGAAGTGATTCTGGTGCTCGTTTTTACTCATAAAATCAGTTTTTTTAGAAGCTGGGGGTGACCAGTTTCTGAAAACTGATTCTGATTATGCTTTAAAAAAGAAGCAGAATCAATTGCAAACACTTCGCGCGTGAGGTTGTGGGGTCAATTCCCATCCAAGGCTTTTGGGCAAATTTTAATTTTTGATAGCTTTATTATGACAAATGACGGGATAATATGATGTGGATAAAAACAATGACTAGGATATACACGTGATATTCCGGCGGATGAATGACATTTTTTAGCCGGAATATTTAACGGTACCGCCGGTTGCAACATTTAAACGTAGTTGAGGTACCGATTTGCTTCATTAAAGAGTTAGGTACTAAAATGCAACATTACCAATAATTATGGTACTGTTTATGCATTTTACTCCCTTAATGTCAATCACCATTCACCATTTCACATTATTACCAAAAATAGTAAAAATAAATACTCAATCTCACGTAGACCAATACATCTCAACATATAAATATGGTCAACTAATCACTAATCTCAAATGAGAAAATCTCAAATGAGAATGGCAGAAACAATCAGGACCTGTTTACTAACAGAGATATTTTCTGTTTTTCCAAAAAATTGGAAAACTCGAAATAGAAAAAGTAGAAAACTTGTTTACCTAAACCATCTTTTAGAAAACAAAAAGCGAAACATATCTCGCCTTTTACCTGTGAAATGGAAAACCTACTTTTATGCGTTTTCACGATTTAGAAAACACGGGGCTACAGTATATTCTTTCTACAGTATATTCTTTTACTTGCTCGCCTTCTTCCCCTTCCTTCTCTAATTTATCACCTTAACTGCGTCTACCTTCTCCGCCTACCTTCCTTAAGCTTCTTCCAACTATCTTCTCTGCCTACCCTCTTTACTACTTGGCTTTAACTTTGCCTTACCTTCCTCTGCCTACACTCTTTACATCTCCGCCAAACCGCTGCAATTTGAAGAACGTCTGTCCACTTCCATAGGTATTAAAGGCGCTACAAAGCCGCCAAACACACCCCTTCTCAAATACGCTACAAGTCCTAGGTTTACCGAAGACCATCTTCCTTCTTCACGTGTCAACCACGATCCAGCCTCTCTACTTAGGGAATCGCTGCTAGGAGCTACACCCCAACATCACGGAGTCTCCCAAATCTTCGGTTGGCTCGTGTTCTGTTAACGAATTCAAGGAGGAACCCACATCACCGGGCCTACCGCCTCCACCTCTCCCACAATCTCCATTGCACCGGCTAACCCCAAAGCCCATGTTTAAACATAAAAAAAGAGATAGTGGTGAAGAACAACCTATACAACCTTGGATTTTAGGTGTGAAGAATAAAATCAAAGGAAGAATCCCTTTGATGGACACGGACAGTTTGCAATTATTTGTCTGTGCCACTTATCTCTATGGGACAAGTAAGTTTATCTTATTTAGCTTTTTTTATTTTTATTTTATCTTAAAAAAATAAGTAGATTTTTTAATTTAACTTGGTTCAAAGGATAAAGTCTTACTGTTCAGCCCTCCTCATGATATTGAGGAAAAAGAAACTCCTCTTCTTGTGCTTGGAAATATCCGTTCTGTGACATCTCTATTTCGAAGCACAAGAAGAGAAGTTTCTTTTTCTTCAACATCAAGAGGATGGCTGAACAGTAAGACTTTATCCTCTGAACCAAGTTAAATTAAAAAATCTACTTATTTTTGTAAGATAAAATAAAAATAAAAATAAAACTAAATAATATAAACTTACTTGTCACATAGAGAAAAGTGGCACAGACAAATAATTGCAAGCTGTCTGTGTCCATCGAAGGGATTCTTCCTTTGATTTTGTTCATCACACCTAAAATCCAAGGTTGTATAGGTTGTTCTTCACCTCTATCTCTTTTTTTATGTTTGAGCATGGGCTTTGGGGTTGGCCACTGCAATGGAGATTGTGGGAGAGGACAGAGGTGGAGGCGGTAGGCCTGATGATGTGGGTTCCTTCTCCATGAATTTCTTGGGACAATTCTCAGGTGCCGTTGTTGATGCAAGAGAATCAGGCGGGAACCTACTATTGACGACGTTCAATGATTGGTCAGCGGAGTGTCTTCCTTGGTCAAACGGGGCAGCTTCTGGTTGTTGTTGATGCTGCTGAGGTGGCTGAGAGATAGGAGCGGAGTGAAGAGCTGCTGTGTGCATGCTAGACCAATGCTGCATGTCTGGCGATGGTGGCTGAGACAAATGGTTTAAAAAAGAGTAAAAGCAAAAAACATCAATGAAGACTGTTTTTAAGGAATCAATGAAGACTGTTTAAAGCACGCAGTGTGTTAGAACATTAGGTTCCTTCCTTCACTGCATATATTTACATAACATACATACAACATACTCCGTATAATAAGTATATAAATATGACCCCCTCGGTCCCATTTCTACGTTCTCGCTTGCCTCTTTTTGAGGTCACATATCAAGGTTCTCATTTGATTTAAAAAAACACTCTTAAATTAACAAATTTATTATTAAACATTAAAATTAATAAATGCATAACAACACAATTATCATCAATTACCCCATTATATTATACGGAGTATTATATAACACTAGAACTACTTCAAACAGGGTGGAACAACCGGCTAGCTAGAAAGAACAGGGCGAAAGAAAAGGGGAAAAGGAAAAAAAAACAAATCTGCAGATGAGAGCAAAGAAGACGAGAGAGCTACGCTGGAGAAAGTGAAAGGAAGAAAGAGAACGTAAAGGAGAAGGAAAAATGAAGAAAAAAGAAAAAAGAAATATGACATAACTGGTTAAAAGAGGTCAACTTCCGGTAACTTGACTGATATGAGCTAATTTTAAGAGTTTTTGTGATGCTTTTTTTAGTACATGGGTGTATGTGATGTTTTTAGGATAGTACAAGGGTCTATTTGACTCTTTTCTCAAAAAGAAAAGATCAACATCTATATGATCATGTAACATTTTGATCACTTTTGTTTGTTTTTAAAAACATTATATTTCCTTTCATCCAAGTGCTCCACTCATTCAAGGGCAACTCAGAAAATACTCCTGTGACAAACAACAAATGTATTTATTTTTGAAAGACTCCACTAAAGTTAAATCAACATAGAGCAGCTACTTGCCAAATAACAGAGAATGTGAAGAAGGCATAGTAAGGTACTAACATGTACTGGATTTACCTGAAAAGGAGAAACATCAAACATGGCCAAGGGAGAAGCCATAGGGATGAGAGGTGACCCAGGAGCAAGATGTTGTTGAACAGGTGCTGACGATGCATTTCTCTGTGTGGAACTTATGATATTCATATCTCCTTCATTCATCCCCCACCATAGTGGAGTTTGGGTTGTGCTGCTTGCCAGAAGAGGCAATATAAGTGGTGCCCATAAAACTCAAACCTACCTGCCTGAATTGCCCAAACGGTGCAAAATGATTATAGACCACCATATGGGGAGGAGGACCTTGAACCCCAGGGATTCTTCCAGTTGGGCTATATAATGGGCCCGTGAACCCTGATGGGGGGCCATAGAATGAATCCATGGAGGAATGACACTGTTGCCATGCACTAAGAGGCCCTGAACCTGTGCCAGTACTCTTCTGGGGTTGAGTTGGGGAAACAGTTGATTCTTCGTGAGGCCCAAAGGAAAAAATAGGACCACCCAAGACAGGATTCATCTCATAGATAGGGATGTGAGAAGGCGGTGGTCCTCCAGGAAAATGGGAAAGCATCTGGCCTGAAGGATTCTGAAGGTCGGATACACGTGGCCATAAAGATATTGGATGGTTTTCAACAGAAAGATCTGCAGGAAGAGATACTGATAGTGGTTCTTCAACCCTTGATTGACTTCCCAATTGCCGACCTCCTGGAATAAGAAACATAAACTTTAATGATGATTAGTACAATAAAATTGCATGAAATGGTTAAAAATGGTTAATTACATTTCCCTTCAAGGATTGGTCAAACTACCAAATGATAAATCGGGTTTATTAAAATAACAAATACACCACTTGATGGGCTTAATATTCCATTAGTGACCTTAAAAGATGATACTCCGTAAAACATTACTGATAGAGTATATGGGCCTGGACCCCATAGCCCACATACTCAATGGCCCAAAACACACCAGCGGGGCACCCGCATCGGCCAGAGGCATGCAGCGTCCAAGAAAGAAGACATCACCCGGATTCTTTGGGCAAAGCCCAGGATCCGCATCGTCCATGGACCGCATCGTCCATGGACCGCATCGTCCAGGATCCGCATCGTCCATGGACCGCATCGTCCGGACTTCGTCCAGACAGAATGTGTTTTTCATTGTATTTACTAAGTGTTGTACACAGCCCATTAGTGGCCTTATTTCGCCCAAAGAAGGCATGATTATTGTAATGGGCCTCCTAAGCCCAGGGCTAGGGGCCCAAATCCACATTTTTACCTATAAATAGACCCCAAGGGGCTAATTATAGGGGATGGGAAAATTGAGAAATATAATTACTCACTTTCTCTCTCTAGCTCTCACTTCTCTCTAGGATTAATACTCTATCATTTGGTGCTTTCATTGAGAGCCTAGAACAGATCAAGTGAGTACCCTTCGTCGCTACCAGACACTACCGCCAGCTATGACAAGAACTAGGTCAAAGAACACTGGTAGGAATGCCCCACTGAACCAGGAGGGGCAGGGAAACGTTGCTGACAACGTCCCCAATGATCTCATCATTCAGGATGAGAACGCTCAGGAGGTCGAGCTCGCAGCGGCTGACCTTCGCACCCAGCTCAACAAGACTGCCCCAGACGCCCGCATCGGGCTCGAGGACAGGCGCAATGCTGATCGCGCTTCGGGCCAGCAGGCCTCTAACCCTGTTGCTCCCCAGATAAACCCGGCCGCACTATCGGCCATTGTTGCGAGCATCCTCCAGGACCCCAACGTGGTCAGCGCTCTTGTCGCAAAGACTGGGGAAAACAACACTCCTGTGACTGGGGAGGTCGCAACGGTGCCACCACCGCCACCTCGTCCACAGGGCGTCACCTTCTTCGGCAACAACGAAGACGTCCTCGCCGTGGACACCCATTCCCATACTGCCTCGCCTACCCGGGATACACCGGCCCAACCTCGCGGTAAAATCTCAGCATTCAACAGGCTGGGTGACATCGCGAGTCGTCGGGTACCTACGGGAAGGGTGGCGGATCGGTTGGGTGGCCGCGAGCCGGGATCACCGAGGGAAAGCTTCGGGTCCGTGTCCCGGACAACGGACCGGCCCCGACCAGATAAAGGAAAAGGAAAGCTGGTTGAGGACGATGCGCGCCACCAAATCAACCTGGCCCACGCGGCCCGGATCCAGACCCCTCTGGGCGGCGCCGCGGCCAACACGGACCCAAGGGATGAGATCATCGCCCGCTTGGAGAAGCGCCTCGCGGACATGGAGGCCCGAGAGGCCGCAGGGCGCGCAGCGGCTCACACATCCCAGCATCCCAACTACGATGCACTCCTGCACAAGGTCAGTGCCTTGGAGAGGGAGTTGGCCGACCGACGCGACGAGCCCGTCATCCAAATACGGACCCGGACCCCCTTCTCTGCGAGGGTGCTCTCCGCTCCCATCCCAGAGAAGTACAAGGGGAACCCGATCAAGCCATATGACGGCCGCACTGATCCCCAGGAGCACTTCACCCGTTATCAGAACATGATGATGACCAACGCTTCGGAAGAATACATGTGTCGCTGGTTCCTATCCACCTTGGAAGGACCAGCGTACGATTGGTTCAACAACCTTCCGGAGGGGAGCATCGACTCATGGCAGGACCTTGCTCAGCGCTTCCTCACCCACTTTGCCGGGAGGAAGCGCGCAAAGAAGCATTTCGCTCATCTCCTGACCATCAAACAACAGCCGGAGGAGACGCTCCGAGCCTTCCTCGATCGCTGGACGAGGGAGGCGGACGAATGTGAAGGGGCCGATGAACGCACTCTCTTGGCTTTCCTCCGCGGAGCACTACGGCCGAGCCACTTCGCCCGAAGCTTATTCACAGAGCCCCCGCGGTCATACCTTGCGGCGCTCCGACGCGGAGATAGGCACGCTGATGCCGACGAGCTCCTGAACCAGAAAAAGGGTGGGGAGAAGCAACAAAAGAAGGACTCCTCGTCCAACCCCCACCACCCACCAGCCAACAAGGGACAACACCAGCCAAAGAGGGCACACCAGGAGCAAGGCGGACAGCGAAGAGAGGACCGTTCATGGCGCCCAAAGTTGGAGGCACAGCGCATCCCCCTCACCCACCCGGTGAGCGTCGTCCTCGACCACGCCGAGGCGCAGGGCCTCATTGTGAAGGACCCCAGGTCAGAGGAGGAGATATTTGCGGTCCACAAAGGAGGGACATACTGCAAGTACCACCGCCAGACATCCCACAAGACCGAGGATTGCACCACCTTGAAGAGGCATATCGACGGCCTCATCCGACAGGGGGAACTTTCCCAATTTGTCAAGGGTGCCCCCAAGAGTAACACTTGGGTTAACCCTGGCAAAAGGGGGGAAGGATCCTCCGGGAAAAGAGGGAGATCGGCGCCCTCAGTGAAGATGAGGACGAAGAGGAGCCCCGCCAGAAGAAGCATCACATTCACATCATCGTCGGCGGGAACACAGGGGGGGACTCGGCTACCCAACGGAAAAAATGGGCTCAGTCCCTATACGTTGGTGAGGTGACCCACGTCCCCCCTCAGCCGAAGCGGCGGCATGTGGAAGCCATCACCTTCACCGACAAGGACCTCCCCTTCGGCCCCTTGCCCCACAGGGACGCCCTCGTCGTCAAATGCGAGATAGGCAACAACATCATCCACCGCAACTACATCGACACTGGCAGCTCTGTCAATGTGATGTACGTCGACACCTTCAGACAACTGAAGTTGAAGAAGTCCGAGCTCCGGCCGATACGGACTCCGTTATCCGGCTTCACCGGGGACTCTATCGACGCCGAGGGCACGATAGTGCTTCCCGTTGTGGTCGGTGACGGTACCTATCAGGCGAAGATTGACATGGAGTTCGTGGTTGTCAACCTGGACAGCGCCCACAACATGATCTGGGGCCGACCGGCCTTGGAGGACCTTGAGGCCATCATCTCCATGAAACATCTATGCCTCAAGTTCCCCACCAAGGACGGCGTCGGCTACGCCAGAGGAAACCAGAAGATAGCCCGAGCTTGCTACCTGAAGCTCACTAAGAAGATCAATGAGGCCGAGGAGCGGATAGACACTATCACCACCGCCTCGGCCGAAGAAGACATACCAAAGGCCGAACCGGTCGGAGACGTGGAAGATGTTCCGTTGGACGTCTCCCGGCCGGAACGAATGCTGAAAATTGGGACACAACTCCCCCAACAGATCCGAAGGGACATCCTCTCTGTCCTGAGAGCGTACGCCATCGTCTTTGCATGGGGACCAGAGGACATGCCGGGCATCAGCCCGAAGGTCATCACACATCGGCTATCGGTGAACCCGGCCTCCTCCCCCATCAAGCAGAAGAAGCGCTACCTCTCAGCCAACAGGAGGGAATTTGTCAAGGCCGAGGTGGCCATGCTGCTCTCCATCAAGCACATCAAAGAAGTGAAGTACCCCACGTGGTTGGCGAACGTCGTCCTCGCCCCAAAGCCGCCTACGTTCAGAATGTGTGTTGATTACACTGACCTGAACAAGGCATGCCCGATGGACCCATTCCCTCTCCCCAACATTGATCAGTTGGTGGATGAGACGGCGGGGTGCGAGTTGATGTCGTTCCTCGACGCGTTCAGAGGGTACCACCAGATATCCATGCATGAAGATGACGCGGAGAAGACTGCTTTTATGACCCCGGAGGGAATCTTTTGCTACCTCGTCATGGCCTTTGGGCTCAAGAACTCCGGCGCCACCTACACAAGGATGGTAGCCCGGATTTTTAGAGCAGTCTTAGGTCGGACGATGGAAGCATACGTCGACGATATGATCGTCAAGAGCAAACAATCCACAACTCATGCCGACGACCTCCGGGGCATCTTCGAAATCATGAAGAGATACAACCTCCGGCTCAACCCGAAGAAGTGCACCTTCGGCGTCCAGGGAGGTAAATTCTTGGGGTACCTGGTCAGCCGAAGGGGCATCGAGGTGAACCCAGAAAAGATACAAGCCATTATCAATATGGAGCCACCCCGCAACATAAAGGAGGTGCAACGGCTGACGGGACGCCTCGCGGCCCTGAACCGTTTCCTCTCAAAATCCGCTGAGAAGTCTCTCCCCTTTTTCCAAATAATGAGGAAGGCCACCAGCTTCAAATGGACGACGGAGTGTCAGCAAGCCTTTGAAGAGCTGAAACAATATCTCGCCTCCCCACCCGTCCTATCCAAACCCCAGCCCGGCGAGACTCTCTTCCTCTACTTGGGGGTGAGCACGTCGGCCATTAGCTCTGTACTCATCAGAGAGGATGACGGGGTGCAAAAAGCAATATTCTACGTCAGCAAGACGTTGCGGGAGGCCGAGCTCAGGTACTCCCCCATCGAGAAGACGGTACTGGCCATCGTCCACACGGTGAAAAAGCTGGGGCACTATTTCCAGGCCCACCCCGTACACGTCCTCACGCATCAGCCGTTGGGCGCCCTCATGAGGAGCCCAACCAGCTCTCCAAGGATGATCAAGTGGGGAATATTCCTGAGCCAGTACCAGATTGAGATCAAGCCGAGGCCATCCATCAAAGGGCAAGCCTTAGCTGACTTCGTCACCGAGTGCACGGCAAGGGAGACGGCCGTTACCACCACAGGAGCTGAACCGGACGAAGCCTGGACCCTCTACACAGACGGGTCCTCGGCCACCAAAGCTTGTGGGGGTGGCGTCGTCCTCATCTCCCCGGAAGGATT